CCCGACTCCGCGGCCCCGCCGGCCCCTAACCAGGCCGCGGCCCCCTCCCCCAGGCCGCGCTACCTCGGCTCCCAGGCTCCGCCGCGCCCCGCTGCCGTCGCCGCTGCCACCGCGCCTGGCGATTGGCTGTGAAAATCAGGTCTTCCGGGGGGCGGGGCCGGAGAGACAACCAATGAAATCAGTGAACGGGCACCAGCGCGAGCCAAGCGATGCTGAGAGGTCAGCAGGGGACAGGCAGGGTCCGGGGGCGGGGCGAACCGGGAGCGGGGCGGGGCTTCAGCTCCCGGTTGCTCCTCGCCCCGCCCACCCGCTGACCGGTAAAGGCTGCGCCCGCAGTTTTCCTTCGGGTTCCAGAGGTGAAGCAGTTTAACTCCTTCCGGGCAACTGTCAGGCTTTCCGCTGAGCCTCAGCGTTCTCAGTCGCAGAGGCCTTTGACCCGCCTGCATGAGACGATCTGTTGGCAGAGAGCGGATCCCTAGGAGTCCCTGTCATCTCCTAAGATCCCCCTCTGGCGTGGGGTCTTTCTACGTGGATGATCCCGGGATCAGAGGTTGCCTTGCCCTCGAGAATAAAAAGGAAAGTTCAAGAATGTAACACACTGACAAACTCAGATATACATAGTTTTCAGGTGTCGGGTAGTGGAGGATCTCGTAAGTTTAAAAGTGATAGAACTGTCACTCCGCAAGACACAAATGTGGAAACTTCTCAAAAAAGGAAACCAAAATACAAAGCAAACAGTAATCTAGGGGAAAATGTGTAAAAAAACACAGCCGAGAGCTAAAATCCTTAACCAAAAAGAGACCTTGTCAAAGGAGTAAGGAAGACAGCAAGACCGCAGGAGATGGGAAACTCCCCAGAGAATACAGACAGTCCGCAGTTGGGACGGGATGGGGGGATTGATTAAACTTCAGTTGCAATCAACCACAAGGCGAGCATTAACGTAACAAGATCCCGGGAGGACGTGATTTTCCATCCCACCTAGAATGAAAATAAACCGCACGTGGTGGCGCACGCCTGTAATCCCAGCACCTGGGAGGATCGACGTGCGTTCAAGGCCAGCCTAAGGTACACAGTTCAAGGCCAGTTCAAACTACACAGCGAGACCCTGATTCAAAAAGCCAAAGAAATAAATAGTAAAACAATTTCTTGGGGTTGTTCAGGAGGCACCTGCCCTGCGCCATTCTAACCCTGCTTCTAACTTCGGACATCCTGATCCCCCCCATCCAGGCCTATCACACCTGCTGCTCCCTTTCCCAGAAATGTCCCTTTGCGTCTCCTTTTCAGCTGCTGGACCGTCTGCCCCTCGGGTGTCAGATAAGCCACCTTCCCATTGAGGCCTTTCCTGTCCAGCCTGCAGACACTGGTGCTCCACTTTGCTGTCTGAACATAACTTCTTCACCCTACTTTCCAGTTGACTTGCTTGTTTTCTTGCCAGAATCCTCCTGTACGCCATTATCATCTGCTTCCGGCAGCTTTCAACTTACAGGGGCCAGCTGTGTGCTGGCACTTAGTAGGTTCTCATTAAATAGCAGCTCCTTAGGGGAGATGTTATGTGTCCTGGCCCGGATCCACAGGAGGGAGGCTGCAACCCCCAAATCCAAAGCCTGGTGCATCTACCCCAAGGCCCAGGGTCGCCCACCAGATGCACCCCTCACCCTTGGCGCTGGGCAGTGACCTGGTGGGCTTGGCAGATCTAAGAGGCAGAGCTTAGAAGTGTGATTACTTAGGACGGGAGTCAGAACAGACTCTCAAAGCTGCGTGAGTAGAGCTGCTGTCTGATCAGTTATGCTTTTTCTCCAGTAAAAAACAAATGCAGACTTAGCAAGGAGAAAGAGACTTTATTGCAGGGGATTACTGCAAAGGCTGTGGGAGGAAGGGCCATGGCGGTGGGGGCAGCGCTGACCATGAGACCTGAAAACATCTCCCAAATTACACAGAAAGTTTTCCTTTCATACCAAGGGGTGGAGAAAGCTGGGAAGAAAGAAAGTAGTAGGGGGCAGTGGGCGGATGGGCGGTGGATTATGTGGTGGATCCGGGAATGTTCACCCCAGGGCCAGTCTGCTCTCCGGAAGGGCCAGCTGGGCAGCAGGCAGGAGGAGTCCATATTTATTCAGAGGTCTGCAGGGAGCGGAGAAGCTTGACTAAAGTTTGGTCAACAAGAAGCTTGTTCCAGCTGATCACTGGGAGAAGCAGTGCAGCTCATTACATATGAGGCAAAGAAAAGGAATCTGAAGAGCTTGACTGTGGCTTTATAATAATAAATGAGGTGGGAGACATCTGTGCCTCCATTAAGTCATATGGGGAAGGGGAGTTCTGTGCAGTGGGTCATTTTCTAGCACATTCTCAATGAAGGAATTTCTTTATCTTCCCTGTTTTCCAGGAGGTCGGGTCTTGTTCCAGAGGAGATGGAAGTAGAAAATGTTGAGTGGGATTTCTTTGAAAGCTCTTATAAAAGGGGTATCTGGAAAAGCTTTATAAAGCGTGTGCCCTTTGAACCTTTTCTCCTGCTGCCTAGAATAAAAATGCAATGGCTAGAGCACCTGCAGCCATTGTGAACTATGAGGCAATACTAGAGATGGAATCCATATAGGCTCAGGACGGTAGAACAGAAAGATGAAAGTATGTTAAAGGTGAATATTTGCTTCTTTTTTTAAGCATTTGTTATGATATCTGTTAATAGCAGCTGAAAAAAAAGCCCCAAGTTACATACCCAGGCAGAGACTGGGTTACATGGCTAGCTACCATAATGAATAGGGTGCAAGAGGCAGGCACGATACAACCCAAAGCACCAGTGACTCCATCCCACCCTGGACTTCCGAAGCTTCTGATGAGTTTGGTGGGTGTCTTGAGTTCCACCAGCTTGAGGGAGCAGGAGTTCTCTGCAGAGGGGAACTTTCTGGAGTGTCGGAAGGGGTCTAACCTCAACTGCTCCCCACGGGGTCTCAGGGACCTGGCCAAGATCACCAACTGCATGCACGAGAGGCAGGGCAAAAGGATGAAATAAGAAACAGAGATAAATTTAATAATGCATGGCGGGGGGCTTGGGAGGTCGTGCCTCAGGATGGGCAGAGGCCCTTGGAGCTGGCCACCCTTTCTTGGGTGAGTATCTGTGACTCAGAGGACAGCAGTGACCTTATGCTAGTGAGGATCTTTATGCTCATGAAGACGTGCAGAGAGATGGCAGGTTAAGGAGTTTGTCCTTTCTGCAAGGTGAAACCCTATGTTTATGACTCCTGGGTTCTCAAGAAACCAGGATGTCTTCAGCTGCTGCCCTGGGGTGTCACAGCATCCCGGGACCACCGAGGCCTCCATTAAGGCTGTGCCCCCACCTCAATATATACTTTGTGGTCCCCAACAACAGGGTACACTGAAAGCCCGCCAGTCCTGCTGTGTGTAGCTTACACCTCCATAAGTCTGAGTTAGGCAGGAGCTGGGCTCCGGGAAAGTGAAACATGGGCTTAGCGGTCAATTCTGAAAGCACACTCTGGAGATACATACCCGAGAGAACTAAAATAGCGGCTCAACAGGATCGGTGTGGACCTGTGCTCAGCGAAGCATGATGTGAGACAGCTGAAGGTGCAAGCAGCCCGTGTGTTCACGGAGAGGTGAGTGGATAAATAAGACGTGGTCTCTGCCTCCGCACGTAAGGGGAATCCACTCCTCCTTAAAAAGGACAAATGGGCACAGGCTGCAAACAGCGAAGGACCCCCGAGGACACTGAGGACAGTGCGCGGGGCGAAATCCGTCCATCCCCAAGGACTCCACACCTAGCCTCTTTCTCGAGTACTTGCGCTCCTTGAGGAAGAGGTAGAGGGGGAAGCGGCCCTCCCAAAACTCAGACGTTGCTCCTGTCACAGGGGTAAGAGGAGACGCGCTGGTCAGTGAGGACCGAGTTGGTTCTGGAGGGGGTGGCGGGGGTGTGCGTCCGCGGGGCGGCGGGGTCTTCTCCGTGTGTGTCGCTACAGTTTTGTAGAAAGGCGACGTGGGAAGAGTTTACAGGGGTGTTTTTCTAAAAGGCTCTGCATGTTCTGAGTGTGGCCTGTGGACAAGCAGAGAGGTAGCTTGCTGACCACACAGTGAGATGGAACAGCCATGGGGAGAGGGACCCACAGGCAGCCGTGGCCCTCGGAGAGCCATTGAGCCCTCCCAACGGGGCTGCACATGTTGATCTTTTTTTTTTTTTTTTTTTTTTTTTTCCGGGAACCGAACTCACGACCTTGCACTTGCCAGGCAGAGGCTGAGTCTTGCTATGTAGTGCAGGCTGGACTTGCACTTGCTTATGTACCCCAGGCTGGCCTCAGATTCACCGCAATCTTCCTGCCTCAGCCTCCCGAGTGCTGGGATTACAGGTGTGTGCCACCATGCCCAGCTTCGGGTTGCTCATATTGAGGTGTGCTATAAGCCCAAACTACGCCACAGTTTGAAAACTTAGTGTAAAAGAAAACTATATAATATATCACATAATTCGCATGTGATTTTCGTGCTAAATTGGTAATATTTTAGATGGACTGGGTCAAAGTAATTAAAATTACTGCTTCTTTCTTAACTTGTTGCATATGGCCACTAGAAAATAGAAACTTACATCTTTGCTTCACATGATGTTTCCTCCCCCTCTTAGGGCACCTGAGACCCCATGTTTGGAAACTCCCCTCTATCCTTGTTCTTTAACGTGCCTCGGTAGGTGTGCAGAAGCCCCCAGGGGTTACAGCTTGGCCGGGGCCGGGACCAGGCAGGGGTGAGGGGCCGAGGGTTCAAGGAGCTCCTTGGCCTCCCCATTGCCCTTCAGAGAGAGAATGGTAGAAACTCCACAGAGCCACTCGGGGCCTTGGGTTCCAGTCTTGTCTGAGGGTGAGAATCGGGAGGACATTGATGAATGGCCTTTGGCCGATGTCCCATTTAGGAAAATATTCGGAGGCCTGATTAATGTTTTCTAGGCTTCATTTAGAGGTGCTGAGTAGACACAGCTTTTATTTGCTTTGTGTATGAAAGCTTCAGTGGTGTTGGGCAGTGTCGGTGCGCTTAGGAGGGCCCAAAGGAGATTTTCACTTGATCTTAGCCAAAAGGCTGAGAAGTGGTCCCAAAGGAGATTTTCGAGGGTGAGGTCCCAAGGTGAAAGAATGCACATGTGCAACACATCAGCAGCAACAGCAGGCAGCACAGGGCAGAGCAGAGAGCCAGAGCAAGAGCACGAGAGAGCCACCTGCATCTTTTTTGTATAATTCGTATACAGGTTGTTGTCTCATATTTACATTCTTACATAGCACTGTAACCAGCGCATGCGGGTTACCTGTGCTAGGTCAAGGTTACGTAACTGTGTCCCACTGTGCACCTGCGCTAGGCAATCAGGGTCACGTCCTCAGGTGTCCTTAGACTTCCCAGAGCTTTCAAGCAGTCTGAGTGGTTCCCCACGGGCAGCCAGTTATGGGGTGGGAAAGCTATGGGGTGTCCACTGGAATTCAAGGGGAGGAGAAACAATGCCCTTCATTTGTTCTTTTCCAAGGCTCGTAGTGGAGGGGAAACTCCCAACACCCTGAATGTGCGAATATTTTTGAGTGAAAAGTCAGGGGCTTGCTTCCTAATTTCTTGCCGGGTCTTATGCAGCAGTGCCCACCCTCAGGTTACTGTGATTGTGTTCTGGCATCTTGGCCTCGATGGTTAAAGCGCTGTCTCTGGCTTTGTTCTTTGCTGCCCTTGTCACCTGAGGGCCAGAACATGAGCCTGCACAGATTCTGTCCTAATGCTGGCCATGGGAGAGATCCAGACTCTTCAGGGAGATCTCACATGTCAGATGACTGATCCTACGGACGTGGAGAGAACAGAATCAGCCTTAGCTGGTTTGAAAAAGAGAATCTGTCCTGAAAGGGAGAAGGGAGGAGGAAGGAACATGCTGAAGAAAAGCTTTAAAGACACCAGCGCTTGGGATGCCCCAGGGGGCATTGGGGTGTCTGGGGACACAGATTGGAGTGTGTGTGTGTGTGTGTGTGTGTGTGTGTGTGTGTGCTGTGTGTGTCTGTGGCTGCTGCTAAACATGCTACATTGCACAAAACCCCCCTTTCCCAACAAAGAATTATCCAGCTCAGAATATGGGTTGTGCCAAGGCTGAGAAAACCGCCCTGCAGGCAAACTCCATGCGCTCAAGAGTCCTTGGTGGGGGGACTTTTACTCTTTCACCCTGAAGCCTGAGCAGGCAGTGCCGGTTAGCAGACATTAGAAGAAAGCCTCTGCTATAAACAATGGTGATCAGCGAACCCAGAGAAAAATCAGCTAGAATGAAACGGATTATACGGAGAAGTCGAGAAAAAGAGAGAAACCTAAATCCATGAAGTAGGAACACAATGTTATTTTAAAAGGGATCGTCCAAGACAGATAAGAACTTTTAAGCTTTTTGAGACAAACTCTCACTATGTAGTTTAGGCTGGGCTTGAACTCACTACGTAGCCCAGGCTGGCCTCAAACCTACAGCATATTCCTCCTGCCTCAGTCCCTTGAGTACTTGGATTATCATGCAGCACCACACCCAACCAAATAAGAATGCTCAACAGTTAAAAATATGATAGCAGAAATTTAAAAACTGAACAGTTTAAATATAAAGTTTAGTTGAACAACTTTATGAAGTTGAGCAGGACACACACATACTGGAAGGCTTTTTCTCTCCTGTTCTGCTTTTCTCAGCACAGGAAACCTCACGCACCAGTTCCTCTGTCTCATGCATTTCACAGCTGCCTAATTGTGGTGGATGCTGAGGTTGCTACACAGGCTCCTCCCTCGTCATCCTGGCCCAAGACTGGTTCGGCAGACCTGGTCTCACCCTGGGCGTTTCCTCGGCCCCGGAGCCGCATCACCCAAGCCTGGGCGCCCTGCCCCTGCAGTCTGCTTTGGATGGCTCCTTAATGCAGGGCATCAAAACACAAGTCCCTCTGCCTCGGTTAGGGCTACCTCTGAGGCCATGCCAGCTCCAGCTCTTCCTGTGGGCTGAGGCCTCTGATGCAAGTCCAGTCTGTGTCCCTCACCTGGAGTAAAGTCCCTGCCTGGAGTCTGTGTCCTGGAGCAGGACCTGTGGCAGTGGGCACCAGGGTATCTCAGGAAACTGACTGCAAAGTGGGATCTTGGAGCTGCCCCACCATGAGAACCCAGCCCTGGCAGAAGGTGAGGTGGACAGCTGGTGGATGGGCACAGTATCCTGGCCTGAGGAGGGTGGAGGGACCAGGGCTCAGGGGCTCAGGATGTGCTCAGCAGAAAAGCTAAGGGAACAGGTTGTAGGGAAGGAATGGTAGGCATCCACTGGGAATTTGGAGCCATTGCAGCTGTGGGGACCATAGGTGGCTCCTGAGCCTCCCTCTTGGGAGTTTCCCCAGGAAAAGACCAAGCAGGATAGTCAAGCAACTGCTCCCACAGGAAGTGAACTTACTGTGTGACTCCGGTGAACCCAGGGCACAGGGCAGACAGGAGTGGGAACACAAGGGTCCTGCTCAGATCCCCAGGTGCCAGGGCTGGTGGCCATTCGTGCTCAGAGCTGGTCTCTGTCTAGGAATTGCTGTCTGCTAAAGGGCCCAAGTCTCCACACCCATCCTGGGAACACCCCAACCAATGCCTGGCTGTTGAGGAGATACCAAAGGCTCAGGGCAGGGCATCTGGGCCCCTGTTTTGCATTGGCTGGCAGGGGCAAGTCATCAAGGGGTGGCTTGTAAGAGCATTTCCCAAGATTCCTCCTGCGCACCAGCCCCATAGCCAGCTGAGTGAACAGAGGAATCAAAACCTGATACCATTCCAGTGTCAGGGAACTATGATTCATCCAGTTGTTTCCATACCAGGGGCATTCACTATTTCTTTTTTTTTTTTTCTTTCAGGATAAACATTGCTACAGTTTGCATCCATGCAAATATGGCCTACATGTGTGGGAATCCCTTTTTTTTTTTTTTTTTTTAACATTGCTAGGGATAGAGTCCAGGGCCTTGCATATGCTTTTGTTTGTTTTCTTTTTGATACAGGGTCTTACTCTGTTCCAGGCTGGCTTTGAACTCCTGATCCTCCTGCCTCAGCCTTCCAAACTCTGGGAGTATAGGCATGTGCCACCACACCTGGTTTATGGATCCCTTTAACACTTGGAGTTAGATTCCTAGGAATGGGATTGCTGGAGGAAAGAGTACAGGTAGTTTTAAGTTTTAGTAAGAATAGATGTTGCCAGATTGCTTTCCGAAAATAAGGCAATAATTCCTGTTTCAGCAACAATGCATTAGATAACCGCTTTCTCTGGGTCTGTGCCCACAATATGTATTAATGCTTATTTTTAAATCAGTTTGATGGATGTGAAGTGGTATTTTGTTTAATTTGATTTTCCTAAATGCTAACAAATCTGAGTACTTTTTTATATTTGTCATTTGGATTTGCTTTTCTGTGAATTGCTGTGTTAATTGGATCAAGTATAGCAGCATACAACAAGAGAATCAAAAATAACAGAAGCTTAAATTAGATAGAAGTTTATTTCTGTCTTCTGTAAAACACTTGGGGGAAGGCAGTACAGGATCAATATAGTGGCTTTGTAAACTTGTGGGTGACCCAGATGTCTTAAACCTGTGGGTGATCCAAATGTCTTCTAGGGTTCTCTTTTGCTCTCCCTAGAGAACAGATGTGGTTTCTAGCCCCGTATTCCAAGATGGCTGCTAGAATGCCAGACATCACATCCTCATTCCAAACCTCAGTAGAGAAGCAGCCACAAAGCAGAGCATACTCAGTCTCTTTTAGGAGACCTGTTGGACACATTTCTATTGGCAGGTATTAGTCAGAAATTAATCACCTGGCTATACTTGGCTGTAAGGAAGGCTAGAAAACTCAGTCTTTGAGTTAGTAAATGGCCACGCT